TGAGTCCAGTCCACTATTCCAGATGTGTATCTAATGACTGAAATTGCCCAGGTATTAATTGCCTTGTTGGTATTTCCTCCACTGAATTTGGGATTTGGATCTCCTTCACTCTTCTGATGTATTCACTACTAACCTTCTTCTTGACTTCAGTGTGCTTGATGTTGTCAGCTTGAAGGATGCCCAGGTATTTGTAGTGATCATCTTCATCCAGACACTCTGTTATTTTCATAGGGCATCTTGATTCCTTCAGTTTTCACTATTTTTCCCCTGTTGTAATAAGAGTGACACATTTGTCCAGTCCAAATTCCATTACAATATCTTGGCTGTATATTCGGACAGTGTTGAGCAGCGATTCCATTTCAGATGGTATTTTTCCATAGAGCTTCAGATCATCCATGTAAAGGAGGTGGGATAACCTGGCAGATGTTTTTGATGTTTGATAGCCATGTCCTGAATTGTTCAGTATTGTTGACAGAGGAATCAATGAAATAATGAACAGTAGTGGTAATAGTGAGTCTCCTTGAAAGATTCCTCTCTTGATGTAAACCTTCCCCAGTCTATCACCATTGACCAGCAACTGTGTCTTCCTTTGTGCCATTGACCTTTGCACAAAGTTTCTGATGTTTCTATTGTCTCCTGCTATTTCTAGGCACTTCTAGGCATCCAATCTGTCAGGGAGTTGATGTGTTCTTGTAATCAGTCCAAACTACAATGAAGTTGGTATTCCTTCTTTTGCAGTTTTCCAAAATCATCTTGTCAATTAGGAGCTGATTTTTTTTGGTCTCTCTGCTTTTTGGGTGGTTTTCTTTCTGCTCAGATGGAAATAGCTTGTTTTCAACTAGATGCTGTTGGACTGCATCAGCTACCACTCCAGTTAGAAATCCAATCTTCAATTTCTCCTCCTTGCAGTAAGTTGCTAAACTGCTTGTCAATGAAAGGGTGTAGACCACTCAGATATTTCAAACAAAAACAGTGCAATTCATCTTCACCTGGTGCTTATGAATTCTTGAACTTCCTTGCCCTTTTCTCCACCTTTTCTGCTGTTCTTTCATTTCACCTTCTTTTTTATTCTTATCCACCTCCTTTATCCAAGTTGCATTCTTGTTGTATTTCTTTGGGTTGTCTCATGGCTGTGCCCAGAACTGAACTTTTTCTTCTTTGTCAGGTGTTGACTGGTTCATTGCAATCTCTCCATTGATGGATTAGTAGAAACATTTCTGATTCAACTGAAATTGGAGATTCTGCCTATAGTGTGCAATTCGAGTTTGTACATTATGGCTGTTATTTGCTGATTTATTATTTCCAGTGCTTCTTTGATCCTCCTTGTTTCTAGGTGATATTTCTTGATTAGGTATTCTTTGGCCTTTTTGTTCTTCAACTTCTTTTCTTTCATCTGTTCTAGCTTGCTTGCATCTGATCTTATGCTGATCTTATTTTCCAACCTGATCTTTCATTTTGGTGGTGCACTCTTTGGCTTTTTTTCTTGTTTGTAGATTTTGCATCCAAGGTATTAAGTTATAACTGCAGCTGTGCTGTAAATTAGTTAATTTGTTTCTTCAGCGAGCTGGTCCTTATATTTGATATTACAGTATTGGCATTTTTAATACTTGTGCTAGACATTTCTTTGTAACAATCCTCAATGCAGGCAACCTTATCCTGTTGTTTTTGTGGTGTTCTAGATGCTCAGTTATTCTTTGTTTCAGTTCTTCTTGTTTTGTAGTTAGAGGGCTTTGTTCTTTCTGAGGAGAAGGCAGAAGAGAGGGTGCCTGGTTTGGGAATGAAAACAATTCCTTATCCTGTTGTTTTTGTGGTGTTCTAGATGCTCAGTTATTCTTTGTTTCAGTTCTTCTTGTTTTGTAGTTAGAGGGCTTTGTTCTTTCTGAGGAGAAGGCAGAAGAGAGGGTGCCTGGTTTGGGAATGAAAACAATTTTCAATAGCTTTATCCTGTTGTTTTTGTGGTGTTCTAGATGCTCAGTTATTCTTTGTTTCAGTTCTTCTTGTTTTGTAGTTAGAGGGCTTTGTTCTTTCTGAGGAGAAGGCAGAAGAGAGGGTGCCTGGTTTGGGAATGAAAACAATTTTCAATAGCTATTCTGGCTTCCTCTAGTGCCGACTCCCCCTGGTTTGCCTCTATAGTCTGAGCTACTTCTGGCAAGGCTTCAATTTCTTTGCTCTGGGTAGACCTTTGCACTTCTTTCAATTCTACTTCTGTGAATATTTTATTTCACATTATAAATTGACTGATCTGCTAGCCCCTATTCTGTTATGTCTGATTCTAGATGTTGTTCTTTCCAGAAGTGGTGCATTCTTTTCAGATATCCTCTTTTTTGGACTTGATTTGTAATAGCAGATCATTATTTCTTTGTTTTCAGTCTTCATATATTTGTGACAGGTAAACAACTTTTTTTCCAGTAGTCCTGCAGCTTCTGGCCCTGGTTGCTCAGCCAACAATCCTGAGTCCTGAAGCCCACTTGTCACCAGATGTCCAGGAACTAGAATACTTAGCATGGTCCTTGTTGACCCAGGCAGTGACTGATGCAGTATAGGTTTCTGTAAATTATATCTCCTCATATTGTTTCTGGGAGAGACACTCTTTGTCTGGCTCCTCTGATGAGACCTGTCCAGTATGTTTGAACCTCTGGCATAGCTCTCATCCTCCTTGGAGCACTCAAGCCCCACAACCACATCAAG